GAGGGTCAGAGAAGAAGAGGAAGACCTCCAGAGAGATGGATAGGCAAAGTGGCAGCACCAATGGACTCAAGAGTGGCAACAATTGTGAGGTTGGCACACAACCAGGCAGTGTTTTGTTTTGTTGTACATAGGGTCACTATGAGTTGGAACAGACTCAGTGGCATCTAATAACAATAACAACAATACACCCAAATACCAAACATTTTGAAAATTATGCAAACAGAAGTTGACACAATAGATGATTGGGACATACTAAAAATTAAAAACTTATGTGAATCAAAAGACTTCACCAAAAAAGTAATAAGGGAGCCCATAGAATGGGAAAAAAATATTTTGCAATGACACATCAGAAAAGGGACTCATTTCTAAAATACATAGGAAACTACAACACCTCTGCAAGAAAAAGACAAATAACCCAATTAAAAAATTGGCACAGGACATGAACAGACACTCACTAAGGAGCAGATCTGGGGAGCCAACAAACATATGAAGAAATGTTCACTATCACTAGCCATTAGAGAGATGCAAATCAAAATAACAGTGAGATATCATCTCACACCAGCAATAACAGCGAAGATCAAAAGAGTAGAGGACAATAAATGCTGGTGAGGATTCAGAGAAATTGGGACCCTCTTACATTGCTGGTGGAATTGCAAAATGGTCCAACCACTCTGGAAAACAGTATGAAGCTTCCTCAGAAAGTTGGAAGTAGGAATATCTTATGATCCAGCAATTCCTCTACTTGGTATTTATCCACAAGAAATATGAGCCATAACACAAGTAGATATATGTACACCAATGCTCGTAACAGCATTATTTACAATAGCAAAATAATGGAGAGAGCCTAAGTACACATCATTGGAAGAGTGGATAAACAAACTTTGGTCCATATACACAATGGAATATTATGCTACCTTGAAGAATAACAAGGAAGCTGTAACTCACCACATAACATTGGATGAACCTTGAGGACATTATGCTGAATGAAATTATTCAGTCACAAAAGGAGAAATACTACATATGACCATTATTGTAAAAGCTTAAGAAAAAGTACCCACACTAAAAGGGAAAAATTCTTTGCTGGTTACCAGGGTGTATCCAGTGGGGTGAGGGGACAGAGGGGAAGGTGGAACAAAGGGTAGGGGATAGACACAGGATAGTTTGGGTGCAGGGTGGGGGTGGGGCACAATACACAAGAAGGAGGAAGAGAATGGAAGAACAAGGTGGATAGGAAAACATTTAGACAGGTTTGCATGGGGTAAGTGGGGCAAAGTTAAATAATGGTGTACGTACGACTTTGGAACAACAGGGCTCTGGGATACAGAGATTGAGGCATGGTTTAAATGTGTAAAAGAGGGGAACTAATGTTAAGATGCTTGGCTGTCTTTTGAATCTTGGTTTCCCTTGCCTACTATTATAAAATAGACACTTGAGGGGTAGAGAAAGGAATAGCCAGAAACATCACCATAGAAAGCTTGTAAGTCCGTCTTCTGCCTGTAACTGATTGGAATACCTAAAATGGGACTAGAACTTGCCCAGTGAAGGAGGCTTCCTGCAGAGCTTTTTCATTGCATAAGACCATAGGTGGAATCCTGATCCCCATCCAGAATCTTCTGAGATGGGAGATTTCCACTTGAAAGGACAAGCAGACCCTCCTGGAGGAGCTAGAAGAACAGAAGATACTTCTTGAAAGGAAGACCGGCAGGAAAAGTAAAAAACAATAACAGAAGTCTGACTGACTACTACAAGAACAAGCAAGTTGTTTGCCCAGGAGCCATCAAGGCAAGTGGTCCCCTCAAGGCAAACCCCCTTCCAAGACTAATACTCAAGAGGAATACTTTAGCAGGCATGTGGGCTTGCTGGTGACCACATTGGTCTACTGACAAGGAGAAGTGAGGGAAAAACAGCAATGAAGTTGTGAGCTAAGTCCACCACATTCAATAGACTCCTGTCAACCTGGGTTGAGACCTGGTTGGCCAGCAGTATGAAAAGACCTGGGGACTCCTGGGCCCAGGGACAGGGACATGGCCACAGAGGACTAGAACGGAGAGTGAAGCATCCAGCTGATATGAAGTGAGGGGAATGCACAAGAACACCCATACTTGTAGATAGTACCCACTTGACCTGGCTTCAATGGCTGGATCAGAACTCAACTAAAAGAGGGAAAAAAAGAGTAATCCACTACAATTTGATGAACTTGACCTATGCTTGTGGATGTAGTAGTTCAAAAGAGGGAACAAATCTTTACAGCGAGGATCATTCCCACCTCCTTGGTACACAGGGTTGACAGGGATGGGCAACTTAGACATTGGCTACCCAAAATGGAGGGGCTACAAAGGCATGAAGTGACTGGCTTATAAGCTTTCAAGAAGGAACCTAGATCCAGAGGGTATGGAGGAGGGTAGAATCTTCACTGAGTGGTTGCCAACCTGTCTGGACCGGGATGCTGAAAGGAGATGGGGATAAGACTCTTGAGGTTCAATAGTGAATAATTGCTATCAGGACTGACTGTGAGGGTTGGAAATGTAAAGGCAGATGTTTGGTAACAAAATGAGGGGAGTGGTTGATTGTGCAGTCCAGGAGCGGAGGACCCTGGGACCATCAAGGAAGAAGGGCAGAGTGTGAGAATCTACCCAGAGAAGCAGTGACACCAGAGATGGAGGCAGAGACGATCATGTGGAGAGATGGAGCGACTGTGGACTCTGGACTCAGGGAGGGAGAGGGGCTGTGTGCTGATGGCCAGGTGTGGGACGGGGCAGGCCTGTGGGGTATACTCTTTGGTTGTCTGATGATGCATGGAGAGGATTATAATCATTGCAATTAAATGAAATACAATAGAATGAGTGTAAAGCTGATGTTCTTCCATGTAAACTATCACTCAATTCCTTAAAAAAAAAAAAAAAAAAAAAATTCACAAGCAATGTAATTAAAATATAATGGGATTTTTTACACACACAGAAGAAGATTGTGTTCAAGAGATGAATACATTAAAGAAGAGGTCATTTTCTTCTAGTGAGAAAGGGCTGGCTGGGAGAGGAAGTTAGGCAAGACCAAATTAGACAAGAGTCCTGATTTTTTTTTCTCACTTCCTAGACTGATCCATGAGCTCTACTTGCCTAAATTCTCCATCTCCAGCAACTATAATCTGAAAGATGTACTTCCCCAGCTGGGCATAAAGGAAGTCTTCAGCCAGCAGGCTGACCTCTCAGGAATCACAAAGGACCAGAACGTGATGGTCTCCCAGGTAAATCTCTAAGCGTTGGTCAACTCATCCTCTGTATCTGAACTATGGTGAAGGCCAGGGGGAATGTTGTTGTTGTTAAGTGTCATCAAATCAGTTCTGACCCATAGCAACCCTGTATAGGGTTTCTGAGGAACAGCTGGTGAGCTTTAACAGCTGGCCTTGCAGTTCAAATGGCTTTGCAGTCTGTAGCATTAACCCACAGTGCCACACCAGGATAAATAACTGCATTTCTCATTATCCAATCACCCTCCCTGGGCCTGCCACCCTCACCCCAAGCCTAGGACACCCGTGTTTCAATTCAACTCCTGCTACCATGATTGGAGGCTAAACCCCACTCCCCCACAATATACTGTGACACATAATACTGTTATAGGAAGAGTCTGGACTTGGACTCCACCCTGCGTACCACTGTCTACTGCCTGTGTACAGACACTATCCACCACCCCTCAGTTTCATCATCTATAAAATGGGGTGGCATGGCAGGAAATAGGCAACATGACAATGGCTATGTGAAGATTGCAATGTAAATACAACTAGATCCTGGCAGTAGGCATGGGAACCTTGGACAGCATCACTAGGAGCAGAATAGTCAGGACACAGGGGCTGCTGGGCCACGTTTTCCTCTCGTCTGCATCCCAGGGCATTGCACTGAGTTCTGAACACACCTTCTCCAAGGGCATGGGGACAGATGGGGTGGGTGCAAAGCCACATCCTATGAATAAGCTGTCAGTAACCCCAATATGTTTACACTGGAGGAGAGATGCAGAAAGTGTACTGGCCCATCTGAGGAAGTGTGTACTTGGCTGCCTCCCCATGGGGAAACTGAGTCAAGCTACTGCTCAAAGCTCTTGCTTTGTGCTTGCCCTGACCCTGCACAGCATTCTGGACTAGACTCAGAGAAGGATGCAGATCATTTAGTCCCTTCTCTTTGCTTACATGGTGTTAAACAAATCACTCACAGCCTCAGTTTACACACTTGTGCAATGGGACTGTGCAAATTAGTTGGCATGGCTGGTGGGAGGAATGGCCACATCTAACAAGGAAACAGTACTCTCATGACCCCTCAGTTGTTGTTGTTGTTAAGTGCCATCAAGTCGATAGCGACCCTGTATAGGGTTTCCAAGTAGATATAGTAAAAACACAATAATGGTTGGTTCCTGAACTGCCCTAAGCCAGGATGCATGCCTCCTGCCGGCCCCGACTCCTGCTGCTTCTCTGTCCCCCCAGGTGGTCCATAAGGCTCAGATTGATGTGGCTGAATTGGGTACAGAAGCAGCTGCTGCCACAGGAGTGAAAATGGTCCCTATGTCTGGAAGATTGGGCCCACTGACCATTCTGCTCTTCGACAGACCTTTCCTGACTATCATCGTCTCCAAAGAGCAACAGGACATCCTCTTTCTGGGCAAAGTCTTCAACCCTAAGGAAGCCTAGCGTGTCCCATTGAGTGGTGGGCTCCCTGCCCAGTCAAGAACAGAGCCAGCCACTGTCTAAAGGGAGCTGCCCTCTGCACGGAGCAGCTAGGTGTGCTTAATCCTCTTCTTCCTAGCCTGCTCATCCTGAGAAGGTAGCAATAGCTGTGGGACCACGGCGCTCTATAAATGACCTTCCATGCATAGGGAGACTTGGATAGTTGGCTCAATGCGCAGGCTCCGAGGTCTCCTGGCAGCAATAAATTATCTTCCTTTAATCAGACAGTTTCCTCCTGCCATTCTATTCCGAGCCCCTTGACTTTAGGCCCTTGTGATTGGCTCTGCCCCGAAGCCACGCCCCCTGGATACACAGGATGGCCTTTCCCAGCTCTGGGAACTTCTCTCACTCTACCTGTGTTATCTTCCCATTTTCCCACTTTTAACTGCATTTTGGTCTCTTTAAATGCAATAAAATTCAATACACTGAAAATGAAAAGAGTGATGAGTGGGAAGCTAAGTTCAGGGATCCCGTGGACTGGAGGTGTGGCAAGCTTCCTGTTTTAAAGAAAAGACAGCGTGGGAGAAAATGGGGCTCAAAGTTTGTGGGCAGAAAGGTGAGGATGTTCCCCCAGATGGCTCTCATGTCCGTATGCTGCAGACAGAGATGTTGTCTGCAGAGTCCAGTTGTTGATGTTGTTGTTGTTGTTGTTGTTAAGTGCTGTCGGGTTGATTCTGACTTATAGAGACCCTGTGTATCAAAGAACGAAACACCTCCTGGTCCTGCGCCTTCCTTACAATTAGTGTTACACTTGAGCCCATTGTTGTTGTCACTGTGCTGATCCATCTCGTTGGGGGTCTCCATCTCGTTGGGGGTCTCCCTTTCTTTTTCTGACCCTCTACTTTACCAAGCATGATGTCCTTCTCCAGTGACTGGTCGGTCCCTCCTTATACCATGTCCAAAGTATGAATACAGGGGAGCAAAAAGCCAGAAGTCTGAGGAGGGAAGACAACTTTGAACAGCACAATTAAAGATCCCTTTGGGATTCGAATCCGTTCTGTGGGGCACAAAAGGTTTCTTATACTAACTTCTAACCTAAAGGTTGGTGGGTCAAACCCACCCCATGGAAGAAGAGTCTGGTAATCTAATTCCGTAAAAATTAAAACCCAAACTAAAAACAAACCTGTTGCCATTAAGTCCATTTAGACTCATAGTGACCCATAGGACAAAGTAGAACCGCTGCACACTGTTTCCAAGCTTGGCATCTTTGCAGAAGCAGACTGCCATATCTGTCTCTTGGGGTGAGAGGCTGGTGGGTTGGAACTGTCAACGTTTTGGCTACCAGTTGAGTACTTAATCCACCGTACTGCCAGGATTCCTTCCGTAGACATTACAACTAAGAAAACCCTATGGGGTGGTTCTACTCTGCAATCAACAGGGCTGTCATGAGTCAAAATCAACTCTCCCGCAACACTTTGGGTTTAGGGGTTGGGGATTGGAGATTATAATGCCATGAACCTGTACAGGTATGTGGTTTCCAAGTCTGCTCATCAATCCACACAGAGGCACCAAGACGGCAGACTGCTTGTTGCTATTAGCCGCTGTCAAGTGGTTCCAACTCATAGTGACCTTATGTACAACAGAATGAAACACTGCTCAGTCCTGCACTATCCTCACAATTACTGCGATGCTTGAGCCCAGTGTTGCTGCAAGAGGGCAGACGGGTAGATGCCACTGAAGTCAAGGGTTCCCCCACTGCTGGCATGGAGGGGAGAAGGGCTTAGCTGGCACTCAGGCCCTGGCTGCAGGCACAGAGGGACTATGAGTGGAAAAATGAATAAATTTGAAAATATCGACCAGAGAGTCATTCAAATGATGGACTTTTAATGGTCTAGGATAGAGATATCAGAGACTCCTGGTATGGCGTTGGGGGATCAGCACTGGGCTGCAAACCTCAAATTTAGCAGTTCAAACCCACCAGCTGCTCCTTGGAACTGACTCAACAGCACTTAATAACAACAACAAGTGGCTGATGAAGAAAAATAAAAGTATCCAGAAACAAGATGGTACTTGAAGGTTAAAGAGAATATGTAGTGAGAAGATTTGGATATTCCTGAAAGGCTTCTACTTTTCCAACACCCGTTTTACGAAGATGTCAACCAACACCATAACTACTTCTGTTGTGTCAGTTCAGACTCATTGTGACCATGTAGGACAGAGCAGAACTGTCCCCTAGGGTTTCTTGTTCTTTAGTGTCATCAAGTTGATTCCGACTCATAGCAAACCCTGTATAGGAATTCTGAGGCTGTAAATCTTTAAGGTAGCAGAACGCCTCATCTTTCTCCCATGGAACAGCTGGAAGTTTCGAACTGCTGAACTACGCTACCAGAGTTCTTTGATGGAACCTAGGGAAAGAACATACTCAGATACAGACACAAAGAATCTGATATGATGAAGATAACAGGAAGCAATTGGTTCTACAGGTCTACAGTTCACTAGGGAAAATTCATCTGGAAAAATGAAGATATGTTAAGCCATGGGAAAGGCTGAGATGCCATTGGGATTGTGTAGAGAGAAGAGCTTGAGGACAGTCTTCACAAATACTCATCATGAAGGGTCAAGGAAAAGAAAGAAAGGTAACGGAAAGAGACAGAAAAGAACTTGGAAGAACTATTAGAGGAACACAGTAGGAGAGAGAAGAAGAAAGAAGCATGCCCACAGGATGAGCGGAACATAACCAAATGTTATTTGTAGGAGAATGTTGAAAGTACCATGGACTGCCAAAACAAATAATATTTCCAGGACTTAAGACTATGGTAAAGTGTAAGCATAATTCATATGCAATGGGAATCCAGAAAATTCATGTAATTCACTTAATTGAGATATTCGCTTTATTGTGGTGGTCTGGAACTGAACTCACAATATTGTGGCAGTAGTCCTGGTGTGGCACTGTAAGATAAGTACTGGACCACAAGGTTGGTTTGAACCACAAGGTTGGTGGTTCAAACTCACCAGCTGCTCCTTGGAAACCCTATACAGGGTCGCTGTGAGTCAGAACTGACTCGACGGCACTTAACAATAACAACAACAACAGTGCCTGTATTACTATTAATAAGATGGACAGAAACTGAAAGAGGAGTCCGCCCATGCAATGAAGCTCATTGTGGACCCTGCTGGAGCTCTCCTAAATGAGTCTCAATCACAGCAGTAACAAAAAGCTAGTAAACAGGTGTTTCCTTCAAGGCTGTGGATGAGGAGAGCCAAATAAAATGATAATAAACGAAATTGTGAGGTGATGAACTGCGGTCAGTACTCATTAACTCAGGGATCCCTGCCCCTCTTCCCTCTGTCCAAAGGCCACTTTTGTGTCATCCTTGCCACCCAACCAGGTCAGTGGTTGCAAGTGGACTTGCAAAAGTTTTGTAAATACTCTTTCTGTCGAGTGTACATTAACTTTTCCATCTGTGTTGCATTCGAGCAGGAAGTTCTGTTGACTTTGCTGGAGAACCAGTTATTCCAGTTTTTTAAAAACACTTTTGCCGAAGATCAGCACTGAACTATAAACCACAAGGTCAACAGTTCTAATCCACCAGCAGCTCCTCGGAAACCCAATACAGGGTCACTATGAATCAACCAATTCGATGGCACTTAACAACAACAATTGCCAAAGAAGAACAAGTAATCACAACTTTTAAAAGGTCGCAGCTTGTGTTCCTGGGAGGTAAGAGGTATGTCCACCATCCTGGGCATCTTTGGACAGGCACAGTGACCAGCCACAGTGGGCATCCCTAGACACATGCTGGGTTAAAGAATAACCTGAGGGGGGGGGGAGGGTAGCTCCAATTTGCTCAGCCCTGTTTGAGTTCTAAAGAAAATCCCTGTGCCTCACTAGACTTATCTTCATGGCAACCTTGAGCATAAGTATGGCAGGGGAGGAAACTGAGGCTCAGGGAAGTAAGCCAAGATTAGGCAGCAAGTAGGAGGTGGAATAGAGACTCATCACCACACAATGACGCAACTGATTCCCAAGCTCCAGTACATTTCCACATAATCCAACTGAGCTGGGTGATTGTCCTGGTGGATTGTTTGTGCTGAGGGTGGAAGTTAAGCTGAGGGCAGTCTCTAGGTGTTGTGTTTATCTGAGAGTCCAGTCTGCTCTAAGTCTCCCTGAAAGGACCTGAGGGACTTGCTGAATCCACATAATCCACTGAAGGCTCAGGAAGCATTCCATTTCCAGTGAGGGTGGGGCTGTGGGTGAGAGGAGGATGAGGTTTTCTGCTCCCCTACTCGGGGTCACTCTGACTGGGAATTGACTTTAGAGCAGTTGGCTGGGTTTGGGTTTGAGGTGACTGTGGTGGGTGGGTGGGTGGGGACCAAGTCTCTCAGGCAGGCAGCTTTTTGTGTATATGTACAATATGCACACAAACATATAGGCACACCCACATACACGCACACATGTGTGCTCACACACACATGCACATGAATGTACACTGTGTTCGCACACATGCATGCATGCATATGTGTGCATCTTCTCACACATGTGCATGTACGCATGCACACTCTTACATGATGCAATATGCGCATGCCAGTATAAACACAGGTGCAAGCACATGTGCCCCTACAGTGTCCACATGTTCATACGTGAATGCACACACATGTACTTATACAGTTGTGCACACATACACACACATGCCCCGCACCTAAGCCCCAAGAGCTGCACATTCAGATAAATGTCTGGCCTGGCACAAGCTCAATCTCCCTTTCTCCTTGCCTCTTCCTTCTGCTGAACACCCTCCCACCCACCCACTAGCTCTCTTCTGATCGAACCTGCACCTTTCTGAACCTCTACTTTCTTTTTTCTCTTAGCTTTTTATTGTGAACTGAGAGAAGGTTTGCAGACCAAGTCATCAACTTGACATTCAACAAGTCATACACTTGGTTTTATCTCAATGATTATAGTCCCCTCCCTGCAACAACAGTGATCCGGCTTCCTCTCTGTGGTTCCTACTTCTACTCCACCCCTC